TGTCAGATGGAAGCCCCACAGGCAGGGCTGCTGCCCTCCTGCTCCTTGGTATTCCGTGTGACCTTTAGTCTAGGAAAGGTGCCAGTCTTGGTTTCCAAGAGCCACATCTCCCTAAATGGGGCAATCTGCTTTAAAGGCCTTCTCCACCAGCACCTTCCCACCTCACAGTTGGCATGTTAAAGGGACAAGTTCACCTTTGTAGTGGCCCGTGCTGTGTTAGAGTGGGTGGGTGGGCGCCTGTTGGTGTGCACATGTGCCTGCGTGTCTGCACAGATATCCAGTGCTCCCCCTCAAAGTGGCCATGTTCATAGGTGTTCAGAGTCATTAGGTAGCCTAGGCTTCATTGTTATATTTTCCCTATGGTGCTCAATCTTTTCTCTTTAAGCAAGCAGGCTATTTTAATGCACAAAGCTTCTTGTATCTTGTTGGAAAAATGTACACCCGAGCCGAGCTGTTCTCCTTGTATGGTCCCAAGTTGGGAATCTGTGTGATCACTCATGGCTTTTGGTACTGTCTGCTCCCATTTTTCCCTTCTCCTCTCCCACTCCCAACATTAGGTTTTGCTCTTGTGCAGAGTGAGGCTGGTCTCAGCAAACAGGATGCCTTATGAGAAGTTACTTGTGGTTGCTCGTCCTCCCTGCTTTCCAGTTCAGCTGCTGGCCAGCCGCCTCCATCAAATGCTTCTGGAACCTAGGTTTTTAGGGCCTGCCACTCAGCTTCAATCCCAGGCTTCTACGGTGGGTGTTTTGATGCCCCTGCTGCCCTCTGCTACCCAACACTGCACTCCCGGAAGTCAAGTCCATGCTGGGTGGTTTGGCCATGCCTTCCGAATCACACCATGGAGGCACACAGAGGCACAATGAGACCTGCCCCTGAGTCTGTTTCCGGGTGGTGGGAATGAGTTGCACTCGTTTCCACCTTCAGTCACCCAGGTCCCCTTTGTGATGAGGTCTGATGTGCAGAAGTCCAGCCTGTAGCAGTGACACCGGTCTAATGGGGAAAGTTGAAGAGTTTTGAATCCAGAAAGTTCAGCAAAACAAAGCTCCTCACTTTGTAGCAGGGCAGGTGCAGCTCACGCTTTGGCATCTTTTATTGTTTTGTTTTTTTCTGCAAGAAAACATTGCTGACACTTGAATAAAATACAGGTTAGTGAGAATTAAGATTTGTTTTACAGGAGTTGACTTTGGAGAATCTTCTCCTCAAAAAGAAGCCTATAGATACCAGTACTGAGGGAGCAGTGGGGTGGAGGTCCTAACCCCCCAAGGGAGCTGTGGTGCTTTAGGGGAGATTTGGGCTTTTAGCAGTTTGAAAGAAGGGAGGTGGGGTTGGGCACAGTGGCATGCAGTTGCAGTGCCAGCTGTCAAGAGGCTGAGGCAGGAGGATCATGAGTTACAGAGCAGTCTGGGCCACATAGGCAGTTCAAGGCCAGTGCGGACTACAGAGCAAGACCCTGTACACTACATGCAGAGACTACTACCGCCAAGAACAACAAAAACTCAAAACCCAGAAGGGAGGTGGTAGACATGGTTGTTGCTGGAGAGGGGCTGAGAAAGGCACATGCAGATACCTTGAGGAATGGGTGGGTGGAGGACAGCCTGGGCACACAGCCGGGGGAGGTGCGCAGAGTCCAGCATCGGGGCTGCAGGATAGGAAAAAGCATTGTTTTATTGTGCAGTGCCCTGACTAGTTTGGAGAGTAGAGAAGGCTCTGTGACATGTTGCATTCCAAGTATTTGGGGGCCTCTAGGAAGGGGGCCTCTGGACAGCAACAAGAGGGCAGATGCAGGTGGGTGACACCTAATGTTTGCGGCACAGTGGCAGTCAGGTGACGCAGCAGCCAGCTTGGATTCCAGTTCCTGTTTCCAGAGAGGTACATCCCTGCAGTGTGTGTGTGTGCGGGGAGTGTATGTGGTGGAGCAATTTGCGCTCATTGTATCTGGTGTCTCTAAGAGAAAGAAAGCTACTCAGAAAAGGCAAGCTTGCTAGTAGCTTGAGAGCAGTTGCAGTTAATTATGGAAGGAATTTTTCCTAATCCTCTGCGTATACAAGCGGGGCACTAAGCTTTTCTGGCTGGCCTGTTTTCCTCCCTCCCTTTTTCTCACCTCCCATTCTCCTTTTTTTCCTTTCTCTGCATTCTTTTGTGGGAGAGCAATAGGTATATGTATATCATGTTTATCAGAGATTAACCTTTTAGGCCTGGTGCCTGTGATTCAAGGGACAGTCTGGAGAGCTGTGCCTTCTAGCACCTTCTGCAGAGTGCTGTGGTTCAGCCCCCCACTACACACACACAAAAGGAGGGGAAGGTGATCCAGAGTGTCTGCTTCAACATGTCACATTTTTTGTTTTACTTTGATTGTGTAATGTTTATAGCATTCTCTAAATTTGACTGTTATGGTAATTATATTGAGTTTTATTCAATTGATTATTTATACCTTACCTTATCCTACAAATTTTGCTTTGTTTTACAGTACAAATACATATGATATAATGAGCAATGCAATGTTTTTGTTTTTTTTTTTTTTTTGGTTTTTCTCCGGTACCAGGAACCGAACTCACGACCTTGCGCTTGCCAGGCAGGCGCTTTGCCGCTGAGCTAAATCCCCAGCCCGAGCAATGCAATGTATAAACAAACTTAGGAACAGGATCAGGATAAACACAAATAAGTTCAAGTCAGGAGGGAAAAAGAATCAGGTGCACAGGTGCAGAGTCCCTTACGTTGCTGCTTGTCTCTGAGCTTTGTGGCATCAAACACAAAAGGGCAGTGTGGTCACCACAGTAGTTGCTACTGTCGGAGAAGGAAGACATCCAGATCCTCAAGAAAAGCAAAGTTTCTTTTAGTTCCTTTCAGTTGAATTTCCCACACAGACTTTATTATAGGCAACACCAAGTGGTACAGTGAGCAGGGTGTTTAGCGTCTCCATAGCAGATGAAACGCTGGGTTCTTACAGTTCTCTCAGAGTCCTCATTGGAAGTTCAAGACATAGCATCAAAATGCACCTCAGGGAAAGTAATAAAGAGGCCTAAGTACTTACACTTCAGCCTTCTACTGGTTGGATCTGATGTAGCGCTAGAACCCCACACACACTGTGGAATTGGTGGTCTACATGTTTGTCACACAGTCTTCCTGTTACTCCTTTCAGCTAGAGAGTGTGTGTGTGTGTGTACATGTGTGAATAAGTATGTACACCTATGATAGTACATATAAGTATGTACCAGAATGTATGAAGAGAAGGTTGGAGACGACACTGTTGCCCACTGCTGTGCACTGGCTCACTGAGCCTTTAGGAATCGACCTGGTGAAGCTGACATCGGTAGAAATTAAGGCCTCTATTTGAAACACTCACAGAGGAGAGTTCTATTTTTGTAAATAGGATAATGGGGTGGAAAACTGTGCTAATATCTGTCTTTATTTAACCACTCCAAGGGACAAGGCTTAACTGTTAAAACCATGATGCCATAGTGCCATCTCTATGTGGGGATTTAAAAGCATGCAGAAGTCAAGGCCAGACCGTCACGTCCCATACTGCTGTCTCCAGCTGGAGGAGAGTGGGTCAGGAAGAGCAGGTGGACAGTGGCAGGGAGGTGAGGAGGGAGAGGCCACTAAGGTGGACAGAGGCCACAGAGAAGGTTTTGGGGAATGCCACATGAGACCATGCCTGTGTCCTGTCAGAGCTCTGGTTTATTCTAAATAGCTTTTCATGGTCTTCTGTCCTTGTGGAGATTTTGGCACTGACCAGTGCCGGTGCAGTGTGGACCACTGCACTTCGTGGGCTGTTCCAGAGAAGGGGTGCGGGCAGGAGGTACAGGGAGCAGCGTCTATGGAGAGCCTGCTGCTCCTGCTGCTGTTCTCCTGGTGACCTCCTTTGAGAGACTCTCAGGTGGCTAGAAGTGTGGCTTTGCCATCAGAAAGCTGGCTCTAGGGTTCTCGGCTCTAAGCCTTAGTTTCCTCATCCAAAAAAGGGGCGGAATTGGCAGTGTTGTACCCCAGACTCGTCAGCATCACTAAAGGCAAATTCGGGGCTGGGGATTTAGCTCAGTGGCAAAGCGCCTGCCTGGCAAGCGCAAGGTCATGAGTTCGGTTCCCGGTACCAGAGAAAAACCAAAAAGAAAAAAAAAAAAAAAAAGACAAATTATCCTAATGATGGCCATCAGGTGTGAAGTAGATCTCATGCTCCCCATTTTACAGGTGGTAAACTGAAGCATAGGAAGGTGAATTAATTCACTCAGCGTCTTTCATCTTGTGTTAAAGCAGAGATTCATACTAGGCTGTGTAGTACCCACGCCTGTCGATCTCTGTTCCCTGCCACCTCTGTTTATAGGTAATGCTCTTGGACTGTGTGACTGGGACCTGTGGGCTGTGACCAAAGCACTGTTTGGGCCCACTGTGCTGGTGGGTGACTTTCTGTGCTCTGTGGTCCCATTTGCTGAGCGCAGGCAAAGTGATCTTTCTCACCTGTGTCTGCCCTGCCTGCCTTGAAAACATCCCTGTCGGTTAGGTGGTTCCAGTAGATGATCACGGAGGAACTTAGCAGCACTGTCCGTGTGCCTGTGACAGTTGCAACAGTTTTCCTTTCATGTATCTCTGCAAGTCCAGGTTTTTGTTTTTGGACCTTGTTAAATCTAGTATAATAGGCTTGAGCTCACTTGATGTATAATGGAAATAGCCTGGTGTGGTATAAGCTTCTGCCTGGGGTCACCACCTGCTCCCACAAAGCTGAGTAGCCAGTAATTTCTTACAGATCTTTTCATAGTAATAGAATAATGGAAGGCAGATGGTGCGCCAGGAGGACTGCTTTTCTTCGAGGCTTTGAGGGCCTGTCGTGGGGCAAAGTGTGTCCCCCTCCCCCAGTTCACATATTGAAATCCCGACTCCCCTGACTTCCCACTGTGACCTTATTTGGAAACAGGGTGGTTGCAGATGCAGCTGAGATGAGGTCACACTACAGTAGGGTGGGCCCCTGATCTGAATGACTGGTGTCCTCATAAAAAGGGGAAATTTGGACACAGACACACCCACAGGGCTGATGGCAGCAGAACGTGAAGGCAGAGATCGCGGCAGTAGATCTGCAAGCCAAGGGGCACTGAAGATTGCCCACAGCCACCTGAAACTGGGAAAGCACCCAGAGCAGATTCTGCCTCCCAGCCTCCAAAGGAACCAGCCTGCTGTCGCATCAGTCGTGGACTACTGAACTGCAGATCTGAGAGACAGTAAACTCTGTTGTTCAAGCTGCCTCCTATGTGGTTCTGTCACCACAACCCTGGTAAATGGATACCAGGCCCATGGAGAAACAGTGACTTACAGAACCCAGGGAGACATGAACGCCCTGACACATGCAGGTTAAAGTTTCCACTGAGCCAGGAAGTTAGGTGTAGGGCTGAGGCTTCCTGAAGTAGAAAGAAGAAAAGTAGCTGAGACGCCAGACCAGTTTTTGAAGAATGAGGTGTTTGTTGTATGAAGAACATTGCTCCAAGGTGACCTTTTACTTCATTCTTTTTTTGGGATAAACAGTTTTGTCCATTAGGGTTAGAAATACATTTTCTTCAAGACACTAAAATGACAGTTTTTGGGGTTGGTCACCTATAAGTTTACGTGTCACTATGTGGAAGAGCTGTGCAAGAGCTTTCCGTAGTGATGCTAGTGCTCTGGACCCATTAGCCGTGTGTGACTGTTCAGCACTTGAAACGTGGCCAGGGAGCCAAGGAACTAATGTTTTATTTTATCACATTTTAATTAATGTAACTGCAGATAACCATGTGTGGCTCGTGGCCACTGTGCTGGCTGCTGTGGATCTAGAACACAAGAGCAGCAGTGGGAGGGACCAGAAGAGTTATGGTCAGGGTGCCCGGACTGTGAGTACCGCTCACAAGGAGGCTGGGGCTGACGGTCACCCTGGGATCCTCGGCATCCCATGTGTGATATTGTCCTGTGCTGCAGGGGGTCTGGGGGGAGTAACAGGAAGTGTCGCAAGCTGGGCTTTCTGGATGCTGTACTACAGAGATGTTTGACATAGATTTTGTTTGCTGCTTCCTCTCCAAGCCCGAAGTACTTTGGACTGCCTAGTACTCCATAGAGGGTGTAAAGTAACAAACCAAGAAGTGAGGAAACCATATGTAGGCGTTGTAGACTGGGAAGCTTCTTTTAGGGTTTTGTGTGTCACCTGCAAAGTACCCTGAGGGCCTCTGTTCCCAGCCTTAGGGAGGTGGGGATGTCGACATTCAGACCCCTTCTGGAGATAGAAAGGGTTCCCTGGAGTCTGTGATACAAGGTTTGCTGCTTGCAGACACCTGATAAAAGCTCAGAGAGCAGCCACTGCGGTTCTCATGGCCGCCATCCCCCACTGCCTGTGGACGGCCTGCTGCCTGGAGCACGTAACCAGAGGGTACTGTGTGGAGAGTGCGTGTGGGATAGTTCAGGACCGAAAGTGGACCCCCAGCCAGGCATCATCAGATGCAGTGTCACAGACAAAAAGAATGAGGCCTGTGACTGTTCTGGCTGGTCCTGGACAAATGAGTGTTGTCATTGTGTCACCACTGGCTTTGGCTCAGTGCCCAGTATAATTTTAAAATTGCTTCTTTTTCTAACTCTACTTAGTTATCATTATGATTTCAGAGAGAAGCAAATAGCTTGTCAATTTTTATAATTTCTCTGAACCCCTAGACAAATGAGGGTGTCTTACAGAGGTGCTGTGTGTCAGAAAGGCGCCTGTCTGTCCCCGGGCCTCCTCCTGCTGTCACAATGAACTCAGCAGACGGGGTGGTGTGGGAGGGGCACTGTGAGGTGTGATGTGCAGCCAAGATTCCTGGGTGTCTGAGGACAGAGTTGTAGTTTAAGAGGCGAGGAAGGACGAGGTTGTGGGAAACCTGTAGTCACTTTCAGCGGATTTGGTAGCTTGTACCAGGGGTGTGACATCACGTTCAGGGATTTGGGAGACATTAATAAGTAATAACAGCTGATAATAGCTCATACTCATCTGGCCAGTACTGACAATGTGCCATGCACAGTTCCAAGCTTAATACTTTGCATGTATGAGCCCACTTAACCCAAAGCTCTTTTCTCGAAGAACTTATCTTGTTGCAGACAAGATTAAACAAAGCAGCAGAGAACATGCAGTGGTTCCAGCTAATACATAGTGAGCACTGTTTGAGAGGCACAAAGAGAAAGTCTGGAGGTCCCAAACGACCAAGGATGCTCTGTATGGTCTTTGAAGGATGGCTTTGATTTGGATAGGTGGCCACGGAGCTACAGTTGGGATATGGAAGGCACAGTTGGAGGACAGTAGGTGTCCAACCTGGCATGACTGGAACAAGTTACAGGTCACAGGTTTTTTCGCTTGAATGTGGTTATTTGACTCTAGTAGCCACCAGCAGATGGGGAGTTCAGAGGGACTACAGAGAAATAATGAATAGTTTGCAGATGCAGTTTGCAGCTCCCAGCACTATCTGCTGCACTCTCCCAGCTCAAGCTTTGCTTAAATAACCTCTGTCACCTATTTACATGAGGTCACCATCTCCTCTCAGTGTTTAAAGAGTCATGTAGTGGGTAGGACTGTAGTGGGTAGGACTGACCTCTCCATTCAGTAAACATTTATTGAGTCTCCAGGACTCTGCCTGCAGTGATCATGCAGAGGAACAGGTGGGTTCCAGACATCAAGGGGATAAAGAATCAGAACCAGTAGGCCTCAGCCCCTGCATGGAAGCTGGGGGTGAGGAGGACCAGGATGAATGGTACCCCAAGGAATCTAGCTTGGACCCCTGAGAAAAAGTGAAAACAGGGAAAACAAAACAAAAAATTGACTTGGACAATTTAGGTTTGAGCCAGGACATCCCTGTGGAGACACAAAGCAGAAAATAAGGAGATCCTACCTTCCAGGACACAAGGTCCCTAGTTCCAGTGTGGACTCTTGGCTTCGGCTTTCCTTCCCCTACTTCTCAAGTGATTCCCTGTAGTCACTTTCAGTGGGGGAGGGTAGAGTATCTTTTTCAGTCTCCCTGCCTTTATCCTTATACTTGAAGGCTAAATCCAGAACTCCCTGTTCTTGCTAAGTAGTTCAAAGACTCTGAGGGATTCTTGGAACCGACGCACCCTGGTGGGACTTTTCAGAGCACTCCTGGGGTTGGAAGAGGAATTTCAGGGTAGCCACAGAATAATGTAAGCTATAACCAGCCCGAGTGATCTTGTGGCTGGGCCCTGGAGACAGGGCTGACATCTTTGAAGTTTGGTGGATGTCTGTTGACCCATGGGCTCCACTGGGGTGAACTTCATCTACCTTTGGTTCCCAGCTAATTGCAGTGAACAATATACCAGCTCATCTTCTGTAAAGGGAGGGTGAGGCACCAGTTCTGCTGCTTTAGTTAGGCCAGTCAGTTCCCTGCCTTGAAGCTCTTACCTATTCATCTGCAAAATGAAGGGATCTGGTGAGATACTTTTTAATGGGACTTGCAACACTAGCATTTTTTGTCAGCCAGTGGTTCTTTGTCCGAGGCATGATCTTTTATCCAGAGGAACCATTCTGCAGTTGCTGGTGGCTCATCCTCTTGGCAAGAAGCAGCATGGCGGGGCTGGGGATTTAGCTCAGTGGCACAGCGCCTGCCTGGTATGCGCAACGTCGGGAGTTTGATTCCCAGTACCGGAAAAAAAAACAAAAACAAACAAACAAAAAAAAAAGAAGCAGCATAGTGAGGTGCACAGAACGAGGCCTCAGAGGCCTCAGAGGCCTCAGAGGCAAAATCTGGTTTAAATCTCGGCTTTGTCCATCTGTCCATCGTGTGGCTTCAGCAAGACCCCTATAGTTAGCTACCCCTTACCATTCTCAAGTTACCTCGCCTGTGCAATGGGTGCTGATACAAAGTTCATGTTCGCTGAGGGGCCATGTCTCAGACATCTACAGCAGTTCCCCTTATCTCAGGGAATCTGCCAAAACCGCAGACAGTTCCCACCCTGTGTATAACTGTTCTTTCCTCTATATAAGACGTGTGAGGAGGTTTAGATTATAAACTGGGCACCGTGGGAGAGTAATACAACAGTCATAAAATAAAACAGTGTCTTCCAGTGTGACATGAAGTCATACTTCACGTGCTTTGAGATGGAGCAAGGCAAATGACACAAGTATGGGTAAGCAGCATTAGAATGCTGTGTAGGGTTGCTGCAGTGCCATCACCGTCCAATAACTGAGACAGCCACCAGGTGACAGATGGACAGGTTGTGCATGCAGTGTGGATACGCTGGGCAGAGGGACAGCAGGATGCCTCGGGATTTCATCATGCTCCTCAAAATGGTGTGCAGTTTAAACCTGTGAATTGTTTATTTATGGGATTTTTTCATTTAATATTTTCAGATCTTGATAGACTGCAGGTAACTGAAACTGTAGAAGAGTGGATAAAGGAGGGCCACTATGTTTTTCTGCCTTTTTAAAAAATAGCTTTCTTGAGGTCTGATTCATATATCATAAAGTTTATCCTTTTGACAGATATAGTTCACCAGCTTTTAGTCGATTCACTTATGTATCAGTCACCGTTTTCTAATTCCAGAACATTTTTGGCACTCCCAAAAGAAGTCTCATCCCATTTTTTTCCTACTAGTCCCTGGCAGCCCGTGCTCTACTTCCCATCTCTGTGGATTTGCCGTCTTGGGCCTTTCAAATAGATAGAATCATATCACACACGGCCCTTTTGGTCTGGCTTCATTTGCTTAGCATAATGTTTTTAAGTTTCATCCATGAAACAACATGTATCAGCACTCCATTGCTTTTTATTGCCAAATAATATTTTGTTGGTGGCTGTATCACATTCAGTTTATCTATTAATCTCTTGGTACACACTTGAGGTGGCCCTGTTTTTTGGCTGTCATGAATAATGCTGTGAACATTGGTGTGCAAGTCTTTGTATGTTTTCAATATTCTTAGGGTCTCATTGTGTTTGATTTGCATTTTGCTAATGACTGGTGATGATCATGTGTTTATTGGCAGATGTGTGTCTTTAGAGAAATGTATATTCACATTCTTTCATTGTTTAAAACTTTGGCTGTATGACTCTTTGTTGTTGAGTAGTAAGAGTTCTTTATATACTCTATTCTATATACTGTACCTGGCTTTTAAAATAGGTGTGCCATGTTTGTTCCTCATCCTAGGTTTCTTACAGAAATCTTTAGTCTTTAGGTGAGCTATAGAACTAGTTTCCCAGGTATCTTATCCCCAGTATGCTGAACCTTAATCAGATATCTTGCTCAGAGCTCTTCGTTAGCACAAGCCCTGAGCTGTTCTGTTCTGGGAGCCCAAATCTGGAGTAGGAGCAGCAGGGAAATGCTAGGGTCTGGAGATACCCTCTGGCCGAATGCATGCGGAGGGCAGAGTTGGGGTGGGCAAGGACAATTACTGTGTCTCAGGAGAAGTTAGGAGTAATTGTACAGCTTTTTATTTTGAGACAGGGTTCTTCTATATAGCCTGGACTGGCCTTGAGTTCATTATCCTCCTGCC